AACTTCCTGGACTGCCCAGCCCAAAGGTTTGTTCTTCTCTGGTCCCCAAAGCATTCAATTCTTGTCTGTTTAATTCATTTGGGGGTTACTCATAAACTACTTGGAGATACTGCTTCTACCCCCAGGCTGGGGCTTCTTAAAAGGAAGGCTACATCTTGTTCCTGGGTATTTCTGCATCTAGCAGCCTGTCAGAGGCACTGCCCACCTTCAGTTAGGTGTCTGTTGCACCCTGTGACCTTTGCTTCTTGTTTAACAAACACCTGGCACTTTTTGCAAGTTACAGTTCACAAGCTCGTTTCCAATGAAACCCTAGGAATAGTCAGGGGGAAGGGGAGATGAGACGGAGGCAACAGAATCAAGGAGTCTTAACCTGGGGTACACAGATCCCCAATGGGCCCAGCCTAGTGTGCAGGAGATCCACATACTTAGATAAAGAACAAGATTAGATCCTTATTTTCGCTGACCTCTGATGGAAATTCAGCATTTCCTTCAAACAGAATGTGATACATGACTTGTCACCAGTGAAGTCACTGATCATTTTATTCACATCACTAGTATAGCAGACATCTCAAAATATTTACACTCATCACTTTCTGAAAATTCTGTTTCCAGACCCACTTGTATTTAGGACATCAATAAAGAAGCACATAGATAGTGCATGCCTTGCCACAATTGAAAAAATATTGTGGTAGCTGTGTTTTAATGAGATCAGCAGTTCTTGGCAATTTAATAAGGTCAGCAGTTCTCTAGGATTGGTAATCTTATGTATTTTTCCCTCCCCCATTCCCCCTTATGTATTTTATTTTATGATTTTTAAAACAGTATTCTCAGATGGGTCCATAGGCTTCACCAGACTGCCAGAGGAAGCTGTGGAACAAAAGAGGTTAAGACACTACACAGAGAATCATGGTTTAGGGCTGGGTTTGGGGCTAGACAGACCCAAGTTGAAACCTTAATTCTGCTATTTACATAAGCTAAACTACTGGGCCTCAGTTCCCTCACTTCTAGAATGGGGATCACTATCTACCTCAGTGGATTAGCATCTAGTACCTGACTAAAGCTGATGTCCAAACCCAGCCTGGACTGCCTAGTGGGGCAGACAAAGCCTGGAGATCGGAGAGCCCTCAACTGGGGTAGGGTCCAACCTTCCTTGGGCTTCCTGACTTCCCTTCAGGGAAGTCATTTGACCCCTCTCAGCCTGGCTGAGCCCAGATTTCTGTAGCAGGACAGAAAGACTGATTTCAGGTCCTACTGACATACTCTATCCCATTCCTGAGCCCAGAATCTTCACCTCACTCCCAAAATTGGCTGACACTATGAGGTCTCCAGGAAAGGCCTGTGATTTCCCACCTTTAAGCATTGACATGCGTATCCACATTTGTCCACTAGGGGGAGCCAGTTCACATTCTCAATCCTTCAGCCCCAAAGGCACAGCCAGAACTGTTCCTTCTGAGCTGAGAATGTTCCCTGGTCTTGCTTCGCTTTTATTTTCCAAATTGAGCCTGACATTCAAAAAAGCACCCACTATGTGCTTCTTTCCAGTAACCTACTACTCTAAGAATGGTGGTGATTATCCTGACTTTTAACATAGGTTAACTTTACCTGCTCTTAGCCTTTATTTAAAAACAGTCATAAAGAATATATTCTTAGAAAGTGAAGATGACACAAATGGAAAGATATTCCATGCTCATGATTGGAAGAATTCATATTGTTAAGAATTCCATATTGCACAAAGCAATCTACGGATCCCTATCAAAATACCAATAGCATTTTTCACAGAACTAGAACAAATAATACTAAAATTTGTACGGAACCACAAAAGACCCAAAATAGCCAAAGCAATCTCGAGAAAGCAGAACAAAGTTGGAGATATCATGATTCCAGATTTCAAGATACACTACAAAGCTACAGTAATCAACAGTCTGGTACTGGTACAGAAATAGACACACAGATCAATAGAGCTGACTAGAGAGCCCAGAAATAAACCCACAATTAGATGGCCAATTAATCTATGACAAAGGAGGCAAGAATATACAATGGGGAAAAGACAGTCTCTTCAATAAATGGTGTTGGGAAAACTGGTCAGCTACATGCAAAAGAATGAAGCTGGAGCACTTTCTAACACTATTAACAAAAATAAACTCAAAATGGAATAAAGACCTAAATGTGAGACCTGAAACCATAAAAATCCTAGAAGAGAGCACAGGAAGAAATTTCTCTGACATTGGCTATCAATAGACACATTTTTCTAGGCATGTCTCCTAAGGCAAGAGAAACAAAAGCAAAAATAAACTGTTGGGAGTACATCAAAATAAAATACCTTTGCACAGCAAAGGAAACCATCAACAAAACAAAAAGGCAACCTACTGAATAGCAGAAGATATTTGCCATATATAAAAAATGTATAAACTCAATACCAAAACAAACAAACCAATTAAAAAACAGGTAGAAGACTTGAATAGATATTTTTCCAAAGAAGGCATCCAGACGGCCAACAGACACATGAAAAGATGCTCAATATCACTCAACATCAGGGAAATGCAAATCAAAACCACAATGAGGTATCACCCCACACCTGTCAAAATGGCTAAAATAAAAAAGACAAGAAATAACAAGTGTTATAAGGATGTGGAGAAAAAGGAACACTCGTGCACACTTGATGGGAATGTAAATTGGTGCAGCCACTGTGAAAAAACACTATGGAGGTTCCTCAAAAACATAAAAATGGAAATACTATATGATCCAATAATTCCACTACAGGGTATTTGCTCAAAGAAAATGAAAACACTAATTTGAAAAGATACATACACCACTATCCACTATGTTTACTGCAGCATTATTTACAATAGCCAAAATATGGAAGCAACCTAAATGTCTACTGATAGGTGAATGAATAAGGAAGATGTGGTGTGTGCGCGCATGTACATATATATATATATATATATACATATATATATGTTTATATATGTATACAAAAACAATGAAATATTAAATACCCATAAAAGAGGATGAGATCTTGCCATCTGTGACAACATGGAGGGATCTAGGGTATTACGCTAAGTGAAATAAGTCAGACCGAGAAAGACAAATCCCATATGATTTCACTCATATGTGGAATCCAGAAAACAAAACAAATGAGTAAATATACAAAAAGCAGAATTATACCTATAAATACAGAGAATTAAGGGTTGCCAGAAAGAAGGGAGGGGTGGGGAATGGGCACAAAATGGGTGAAGAGGATGGGGAGATACAGGCTTCCAGTTAAGGAATGAATAAGTCACAGGAGTAAGAGGTACAGCATGGAGAATACAGTCAATGATATTGTCATAACATTGTATGGTGACAGATGGTAGCTATACTTGTAATTACTTGTGTAATTTTGCTTGCCCTAAAGTCACAAATATTTTCTCTTTCATTTTCTTCTAGAAATTTTATAATTTTTGGTCTTACACTTAGGCCTATGATTGATAAACCTATATTAGCAAAGTTCAGAATGCTATTCAAAAGGGGGTTCTGTTGATGTACATTTTGGAAGAGGTCAGAGTTTACATCCAGTAAAACTTTTAAGATATATAAGGAGGGTCATAGATTCTGTGCATGGAGTCAGATGCTACTGACTTCTGCTAATTCAGAGTTGATCTTGAAGAATAAATGACACGAAGTTCTGGAGATGACGGGACCTGCTTTCCTTTTTGCCCTCTCCCTTTGATAGGTGTATATCCACAGGATATAATCAGTAGGCTATATAGATGTCTTTCAATGCTCTATGTAATCTTGGCTTTGTTCCTCTACTCTTCAGAGGCTCATTTGTTTGGCCTTTCAAAAATTAAGAGTTGGGAGTGAGGCTTATTTAATATAACATGACAAGCAAACACTAAGTCGTATAAAAAATACATAAGAGTTCATCTTACACTCAGGATAATTAATTTGTAATTAATAGCTTTTTAAAAGTTTATTTATTTATTTTGAGAGAGAGAGCAGGGAAGAGGCAGAGAGAAAGGGAAAGAGAGAGAATCTCAAGCAGTTTCCATGCCAGAGTCCTCACACGGGGACTCAATCTCACGAACTGTGAGATCATGACCTGAGCTGAAATCAAGGGTCAGATGTTCAACTGACTAAGCCACCCAGGTGCCCCCAGTAATTAAGAACTTTTAATAACTGTCCACCAATATCCCTACCTGAACCATTGATGAACCCTACCTGATGTACTGTTCCTCTCTTATAAAGAAACTGGAATTCTTCTTAAATTTTATGGATATCTTTTTCTATCTACCTTGAATTACAGTTAAAATTCCTGAGCTATTCTATTCTTCCTTTACAGAGGTAAGAGACAACTCCTTGGTTTGTAAAGCCCCAGTGGCATCCCTAGTTGCATTAGGCCTTTTTCTAGAATCCCCACAGGTTTTACAATGGGTCTCTCTAGTTTAAAAATCCCAGTTCCAAGGATTAGAACTAGAAAAAGGATATAAAACCTAATGTTCTTAAAGATGGAAGAGTTCTTTATATTCCAAAGCAGTTCACACACACACACACACACACACACACACACACACACACACGTCAGGAAGGATCCATGTCTTAGGTAGTCTTTAGGCAGCATAATTTTTATAGTGTCTAGCACATTGCATCCCAAAGGTGGAATATGCAGCTAAGAACTCCACAGCCAATGTTAAAGTCTATTGTGTACCAATTAGTCAGTGGCCATGAGTACCACTGCCGATCACTTGAAGGAGAGAGCTGTAGTGGAAAGGGGCAGGGAAGGAAGACCTTCATAATACGCAGCAGGAAACTATGGTGGTAAGCAAGGTGAGGACTTGAGAATCCTGGTTTTACCCTAGCAGTCTCCCATCTCATACACTAGACCTGAAGGTTATTTATCTGGCATCTCCATACGCCCTACAAAATTTCTTTGTGGTCTTCACTTAGTCCATCTTGAATGCCACACAGTAATTCCCTTTTCTTACTAGGACAAAGTTGCCATGATTTGTATCCAAACTTACCTTGTTTGCTACCAATTTTGATGTAGTTGTGGCTTGTCACTCTTGTATCCTCGAGGATGGTCTAGAGCCCCACAGAATCATGGGGATGGTCAAGAGAATGTCATAAGACTCCTAGGCTCATTCTTGAAATTCCTTTTCATATCCTGCTAGAACATATGTGCTCTATAGTGACCAGGGTGACCTGGGCTGCAAAGGAACCCAAGATTTAAGTGAGTACTTGACAATAAGGAAGCAAGAGACAAGTAAGAAAGCTCTCAGGGTTGGAGTAACACTATTGGAATACCAGCTATATAATAATATTGACATGGGCTGAGTCCCCAAATCTGGTAGATTGTAGAATTGCAGCATTAGAGTTCATCTTGGTCCTTGATCCATTAGAGTTCATCATCTCCTTGGTAGAGCCTCAGGCCACATAAAGCCTGCTTGCTGAAAAGTTTTATATAGTTTCGATTAGTACCATAATTTTGCTTCTGTTTCACCATATTTGGAGGTTGGAAGAGATGTGTGGTTTGTAATTTAGACACATGTTAGAAAACTTGTCTCATAAAATGAGAAAATTAGTCTGAGTCTATCTTTTCCCAGGAAGGAATGCCTTTCTGAGTTCTGACTGTGGTAGCATCTACCGTCCAGTAGGGGTCGCCTCAAGGCTACCCAAAGAATAACAACTCTGGCTGTGGATGCTCCTCCCTAATGCTGGGTGGGACCATCTCTTCTAGAGTGCTTTCTGGCATTACTAGTGGTGGAAGAAAGGCAGTGCACACAATGAAAAACTAATACATTGCAAACCCCAGGTGCATGCCAAGCATTTTTCATTCTATCACGCTCCTTCATTCAATTGTATGTTAAGATGCTGGCTCTGATGAACAGGGAGGGGAGGAGGGACTTGGGAACCATAAGTCACCCATCTTGGTGGAAGCTATAAAAACACAGGACAGAAGAGCAACCTGTTAGTGTCCAGGCAGCTTTTCTATATTGGGGCTCCATTTTGTAGGCTCTGTGGTTGTTCTTCACGTTGGAAAGTGATAAGGGGCTGGGGATCGGAAGAGGGTGCTTATAAATATATTCACAGAGCAGATTGCTTCATCTCAAGCATTTCCCTTTACACACTTCAACTGCTTTAACTTACAATAAGCAAAACTTTCTAGACAGAAATTCATACTTGTAAATCCAATACCCTAGGCATATAAATATTAGGAACCCAAAGGTATCTTAGATGTTTCAAAATATTAAGGATAATATAAGGTTTCATCTTAAAATAAAAAAATCTGTATTGCTCAGACATTTCAAATAAGCTACAAAGCTACCAGTCCAAACCCATCCTCCTGTGACAGATCTATAAAATATCAAATGTGCAGGGGCACCTGGGTGGCTCAGTCAGTTAAGCGTCTGATTCTTGATTTTAGCTCAGGTCATGATCTCGAGGTTCATGTGATCAAGCCCTGCATCGGGTTGTGTGCTGACAGTGCAAAGCCTGCTTGGGATTTTCTCTGTCCCTCTCTCTCTGCCCCTCCCTTGCTCTGTCTCTGCTTCTCTCAAGATAAATAAAATCTTTTTATCCTTTTTTAATGCCTTTTTTTTTTTTTTTTTGAGAGAAAGAGTGCAAGCGGGGGAGAGGCAGAGAGAGAGGGAGACACAGAATTTGAAGCAAGCTCCAGGCTCCAAGCTGTCAGCACAGAACCCAGCATGGAACTCAGACCTGTGAACCATGAGATCATGACCTGAGCTGAAGTCAGAGGGCTAACGAACTGAGCCGAGCAGGTGCCCCAAAAAATAACATTTTTTAAAAACATCAAATATGCAAAGCTGCTTTCTTTTTTAAGTTTTATTTATTTATTTTAAATTTTTTTTTTATGTTTTATTTATTTCTAGGAGAGAGAGAGAGAGACAGCGTGAGCAGGGGAGGGTCAGAGAGAGAGGGAGTCACAGACCGAAACAGGCTCCAGGCTCTGAGCTGGCAGTCAGCACAGAGCCCGACGCGGGGCTCGAACCCACGAACCGCGAGATCATGACCTAAGCGAAAGTCGGACGCTCAACCGACTAAGCCACCCAGGCGCCCCTATTTATTTTAAATTTTTTAATGTTTTATTTATTTTTGAGAGAGAGAGAGACAGCGTGAGCAGGGGAGGGTCAGAGAGAGTGGGAGACACAGAATCCGAAGACAGACTCCAGGCTCTGAGCTAGCTGACAGCACAGAGCCGGACACAGGGTTCGAACCCACGAACCGTGAGATCGTGACCTGAGCCAAAGTCGGATGCTTAACCAACTGAGCCACCCAGGTGCCCCTATTTATTTATTTATTTTTGAGAGAGAGAACACACACACAAGTGGGAGAAGGGCAGAGAGAGAGAGAAAGGAAAGGGAGAGAATCCTAAGTAGTCGCACTGTCAACTCAGATGCCCAGCCTTGAACATATGAACATTGAGATCATGACCTGTGCTGAAGTCAGATACTTAACTGAGCCACCCAGGTGCCCCAAAGCTGCTTTCTTAACACACACACACACACAAATATTAATACTATGGGTCTCTTCTCTTTTATATTTCTATAATTTATTCTAAGGTTAGAAGATGTTTACCCACCAAAAGAAAGCAATTAGCATACCAGTGAACTGAAGCCATTTATTAATAGATATTTGGGCTGTGATGTTGAGAATCTTATTTGAGACCCCATCTTGCAGCCCTAACTCTATATATGATTACGTTAATGCCTTCATAATATCATGGGGGTAATAATCGGGCGAAAAGATATATCTGGGATTTGCTTTAAAATACTCCGGGGGGTGAGGAGGAAATATACACCTAACTTAAAAAAAATAGAGACGTGATCACCTAGTCCACTTCTCCTGGGTCAAGCTTTTCTCCCTAAAAGTCTGCAGCTCCTAGCCAAGTTGATTACTTGATGGAGTTTTGAAATTAAGAAGTAAAGATATGTAGCTATATCTAGAGACCCTTGAATTTGAGGTTCCATAGTAATTTCTTCTGCATTTAATTTTAAGACACAAAGACCTGATGAAATTTTGTTCTGTCATATTCCTATGACTATATAACTCCTAAGGATCTTTAAAATTAGACCCAGTTGAGTTTTGGATATTTCACATGGCTTTCCCAACTCAAGGTCAGAACTTACAGTTTCATTCCACTAATACACGCTTTGTGTCAGAAAATGTCTACAAACTGTTGTTTTTTAACAGTTTCTGTCATCTTCATGATACCAATAAGTGGGTTCAAATCAACAGGATTGAGTAACAAACTCCATAGTAATGCCCAACAGTGTTCCCAACGTAGGTTCTTAATTCTGTAATTGAACTTCCTTTTCTTTTATACTGAAATTATTGATTCCTAAAATAATACACATCATCACTACATTTATTTGTATCTAATACAAAAAATGGTTTAAAATACAATATTAATATAATCAATAAAGCTACAGAATAAAATCCAATATTTTTATGCAGTTCCTTTTTTAAAAAACTGTGTCCCAAACAGTCACTACTTAAAGTCACTCCTGTGACTTCACGTGGTGGTCAAACCATATTTGAGAGCTGCACTGTCCAACAGTGTGGCTGCTAATCATATGTGATTATTGAACATTTGAAATGTGACGAGTTTAGGGCAAATGGGTGCTCAGCCGCTTAAGCATCTGACTTCAGCTCAGGTCATAAATCTCATGGTTCATGAGTTTGAGCCCCATGTTGGGCTCTGTGCAAACAGCTCAGAGCATGGAGCCTGCTTCAGATTCAGTGTCTCCCTCTCTCTCTACCCTTCCCCCACTCATTCTCTCTCCCTCTTTCTCTCAAAAATAAATAAACATTGAAATGTGACTAGTCTACATTGAGAAGTGCTGTAGCATAAAGCACATGCCAGATTTCAAAGACTTGGTACATATAAAAGAATGTAAATATCTTAACAATTTAATGTTAATTAATAATTTAATAATGATTATTATCTTGACAATATTTTCACTACTTTGGATTAAATATATTAATAAAATTAATTTCCCGTTTCTCTCTTTTCTTTAATGTGACCATTAGGAAATTTTAAATTACATTTGTGGCCCACCATCTATTTCTACTGAACAACACTAGTCTAGAGTCAGTCATACATGTTGCATGTGTGGCAATGGAATTCTTAATCTGATGGACTGATTGGGGAGGTTTTTTTCCAATTTGACAGCACTGGATATCTACGGTCTTAAAAGATGAAGACTTTCTGCTATTTAACTATTCTGGGTGCTGATCACCCAGATACTCAAGAAAAAGAAAGAATCACACTCTTATTCCAGAAGTCTCAGTCTCCAAAGTTTTAAGAGCTTCATTTCACTACCATTAAACCATACAATGATTTAATACCAATTCTAAGATTCTTAGATAGGATTTCTGGATGAATAAAACTCATTCTGACCCATTTTGTGTAGTTTCTGGTAATATTAGGACCCATGTATTTTCACATGTTCAATGGATTTTGAATTTATCAAAACCTTGACCTACAAGTGTACTATTATTTACCAGTAATTGCATTTTCAGCATCAAGGCCAATGAAAGGACATTAAGGAGACAGTAACCAGTTATTTGAGCAGGGACAGTGTAATATAAAGAATTATTAACTATTTTTAACTGTTTTATTTATTTCTGAGAGAGAAAGAGAGAGGCAGCATGAGCAGGGGAGGGCCAGAGAGAGGGAGATACAGAATCCGAAGCAGGCTTCAGGCTCTGAGCTAGCTGTCAGCAAAGAGCCCTATGCTGGGCTCAAACCCACAAACCATGAGATTATGACCTGAGCCGAAGGCAGACGCTTAACCAACTGAGCCACCCAGGCACCCCAAGAATTATTAACTATTTAAAGGGAGCTAACTACTAGGAGGGAATAAAAGAGAACTCAAGGCAGAGGTGGGGGGGGGGGGCTGGTGGAGCCTCTCCCTAAGGCTGGGACACCAATCTTATTGGAAAGGTTGTGACTGCAGCCACCAGCCACTGGATGGCAGAGTAGTGCACTAGATTGTCCTGGCCAGAGCTGGTACACAGTAGCTGAGGCAGGAAACTGTGGGCGCTGGCCAGCAAGCAGGATTCCCCTACAGCTGGGGTACGAGTAGGCAGAAGCTAGAGGGAAGAAACCACCTCCTTAGGTAGATGCAATTGGCCTCCAGCACTCCTTACTGATAAAGCTCAACACTGAGCTGTCAAGGGAGAAATGTTCTGGTATCCCAAGCAAAGCAATGAAGGATGGATCTGAAATAAGGAGGTATTAAGTGATAACTGGCACACCATCTCTAAAGGTAGGAGGACTTGATCTCTTGCTATCAGGAGCTTTGTACAAGTACATAAAAGACTTTCCAGAAAAGAACTTTCAGAAATATCCTTAATGAGATATTGCAACCTCTGGGTGGCAATTAAGGATTTAGACTTTTACTTTTTAAGCCTCCTTTTCTCACAGATCTCTAACCCAATCTTGTCATGATGAGAATTTCCTTCTTTTTTTCTTAAACATTTCAGAATTATGGTTCCAGGATCAATCTGGAAGTTTTGGGTCATCTCTAGTACACTAATCCCTAATTATACAGAAGAGGAAACCAAAGTGTTTAAAATGAACTGATTGGGGACGCCTGGATGGCTCAGTAGGTTGAGCGCCCAACTTTGGTTCAGGTTGATCTCATTGTCGGTTAGTTCAAGCCCTGCATCAGGCTCTATGCTGACAGTGCATGGAGCTAGCTTGGGATTCTCACTCTCCTCTCTCTCTGCCCCTCTCCCACTCGTGCTTTTATTTCCTCTCTCAAAATAAATAAACTTATTTAAAAAATTAAAATTAACTGATTTGGGGGACGTTGGAGTTCCCTTCCTGCCCACACAGGGGCATCCACAGAACAATTAGCTACTATAAGGAGAAATAGGAACACTTGATTTTGAGGAGTCTGAGGAGTCTGAGAGCTAAATGGTACAACAGAGGCCAGACAGATAGTCAAGCAGATACACAACCCGGTTTAGTTTATGATGCTTGCCTGAAACAAAAAAGCCTTTCTGAAAAGTCCAGGGACAGAACTTAGATGCAGTGTCCCCAGGAGTGGAAGGCTCCCAGAGGCCCAGAGGTGGGCACAAAAGTAAGAAATTAAGGGGTCACATTGGCAGGCACTTGCTTCATCCTGCATTATACTTCTGCTACTCTTGGAGCCTGTTGCTCCATCTCCTGTTGACTAGGCCACATTTAGGAAAAAGGGGGTATAGAAAAGATTTAAAAGCAAGATGTTGTCACTTGTAGGGACTAAGCTGCAAAAGGAAAGAGCTCCTCATCAGCAGGAGAGACGAGCACCTCCAATTCTCTACATTGGGAATTACACACTTCCTTTGATATTGGATTCAACCTAAGGCCCCTCCAAGGTTGCTTTGTGGTCACTGAAGGAAGAGAGGCCTTGGGACATTCAGGCAGGAAAGATGACATTCATCAGCGGAGAGAAATATGGACCTTGTTGTAAGAACAAACTTTAAAAAGTTTAATACAGAGAACAAAACAAGTGGTTGCCAGAAGGGAGGTGGGTGGGGGGAATGGGTGAAATAGGTAAAGGGGAGTTAACAGTACGTTTATTGTGATGAGCAATGAGAAATGTATAGAATTGCTGAATCATTATGTTGTACATCTGAAACTAATGTAACACTGTATGTTAATTATACTTGAATAAAAAATAATTATTGAAAACACTATTTAAAAAGAGGGATACTGAAAACAAAAATTTGAAGAAATCCAAATAGAAAAATATTAGCAATTGATGAAAACATCAAAAAGTTTGTTAGTTCAGAGTTTACACTTTAGAAATTGTAGCTGAAACTGGATTTTCCTCTTGAGAATAGGGTGAAACTCTGCTCCCAAACTCTTCCTGTGTCTCTGTATTTCATGGGGCACTTCACAGTTGAGGGATAATCCCTTCAAGTTTCTCCCATTTCCTGTCTGTGTCCTTTCTGCCTCTCAGTTGGAACAATGGGGAAAAGACTCAAAGAGGAAAGCCTTGTGGCAGAGGACACAGGTCAAGAGGCCATCCACTCTCAACCTTGAAATCGATGTGCTATAGGAATCACGGCAAATCTTTTCTCCAATCTAGGTCTCAGGGGCCCTATCTATAAAGTTAGAGCTGCTGTAACTCCAGGGCCTTATCAGAAAAATCAAAGAGCTGACAGGACAAGGATTTGGAGAAAAGGTGAAGAGTTTGAGCAACAGAAGCAAAAACCCTTGACCTGGTCTCCAGCATTCCCAGGAAGTCACCTGGGGAAGGTGACTCACTCTGGCGCACCTAGAATTGCCCATCATTCCTGGCTCACCACACCCATTTTCTCCCCTGACCTCCTTGGGAAGGGAATTTCTTATAAGTCATAGGTGGACTGCCTTAGTTGTCTTCTCAGTAGGGGCTATTGCCTGGAGTACAGTAATGTGGGTGATTTATTTGCACCAAGTGAGCTAATCTTGTTTGAAAGTTGTAAGAGTCCAGACACACCTAGGTGGACACAGGGACAGCACTTGTCCTGTCCCTTGCCTCTACCAAAGCCCAAGTGTGCAACTGTCTGGGTACTTTATATTGATCAAATCATATGTCTTACACACTCCAACCTCAATGGCCCTCTCACTGACCTCATCTCTTCTCTTTCACCTGCTCACATTTGTTACCCACCAAGAGACCTGCTCTCTCCCTTCTCTAATTCTCCAACATCAGATGGCTTAGTGTTCCCCTCTCCCTCAGTGGCTGTCAATCAGTGTGGCCATGATGACGGTGGTAGATACCATGCATTTTGTCCACTATTATATACAACTGTGGGCCAGCCCTTGTATTATCCTCCTGTTTTAACTGGCACCACAAAAATTGCATGTATTTTACTTCGTAATATAATTTTATTTCCTATTATAAATCTATTTTATAATTTATAATACTAGAGAAGGGTTTTACATTCTGGCTTGAAAACCTTCTTTATCACACCGCATTCCTGACAAGAAATCTCTGGGAATATCTGATTAGCTCCAGAAATTATCAGTCTTTATCCTGAATTAGATAGAATAAAAGGTCTAACTGGTATGTGGAATGAATTCAACTCTCTAAATCTCATACCCTCAGATCTTCCCAGAACACTGACATACACATGGGCTCTAGGAGGATAATAGGCCTCATAAAATAATTCATTTTGGTCCCCCTAGAAGTGACCCTCTCAGGATGAACTTGATCGGACCTTCCTTAGCTAACATCAGCATGTAAGTATCTGTTGACATGAGAATTCAAGTTTTTAAAACTTTTTTTTTTTTTTGAGACAGAGAGAGGCAGAGCACGAGTGGGGGAGGGGCAGAGAGAGAGGGAGACACAGAATCTGAAGCAGGCTCCAGGCTCTGAGCTGTGAGCACAGAATACGATGCGGGGCTCAAAGCCATGAACCGTGAGATCATGATCTGAGCCAAAGTCAGACGCTTAACCGACTGAGCCAGCCAGGCACCCCTGGAATTCAAGTTTTTGACTAGAGCTCTTTCCTTTCTTTGTTGGCTTTACACACATTCTTTCAGGCCTGTAGTTTTTTATGGTAAAGATTGAAAGATGCATACATCTAGTTAAAAAGCAATCCGATTTTCTCTCACTGCCCAAAGTTGGCAAACAACCATCATCAAGTCCTGAATGGAGAGTGTGGGGCTTCTTCCTGTGGGTGAAAGTGTCCAAGTGTAGGCTGGATGACCAGCTGTCAGAGGATTCTACACTGACTGACAGCTGGAAATCAGGAGTCCTGAGGGTTGTTCCAGGCTTGAAACCCTCCATGAGACTCTTTCCCATGCACGGAGAGTGACAAAGCAGACAAGCCCAAAATCCTAAAGCCCTTGTCTTGGCACCTGGTCAGATACTGTGTTCAAGGTTTCTCATGTAGATACACTGTCTTCTTAACTAAGCTGCAGGTTCCCCAGAGGCAGAGTATACTGTATTTCTTCTCCTGCTCTAGTCTCCATAGTATACAGCCTAGAGCTCAACATCGAAATTGGGGGTCAACAGTCACCAAGTTCTTTCATCATTTCAATAGGTATGCTTTGAAGGTACCATTAGAAGTAAGTTTTCAGGGAGGTGCCAAGATGGCGGAACAGCATAGTAGTTTTTTTTGCATCTCACGTCCATAAAATACAGCCAGATCAACACTAAACCATCCTGCACACAAAGAAAACTAATTTGAGGATTAACACAACAATCTGCACAACCTGAACCATAGAACTTGGCACGTATGCAGTGCGAAGAGGTGATCTGGGGGAGAGAGAAGCCGTGGAGGGCAGGGAGTTGTTTTTGCTTACAGAGAAAGGATGGAGATGGGGGGGGGGGGAGAGCATGGGAAAAGAACCCCCCCAAAAGCAGCTGGAGAGGAAGTGGAAAAGTGGAAACAGCCATAGGGATTGAACAAAAAAAGGGAGAAGGGAGAAAGGAGAAAGGAGAGGGTTTAAATTCCATAAAGACTCTATAAACAGGGGGAGCACAGAGTCTGAAACTCCCCAGCTCGATACTTGGCAGTGCTATGGTGGGAAGGACAAATCCCCAGGAGCAGAGAGTAAGGTCCACGGTTTCTCAGGCCACACGGGGAGAAGCAGTTCCCCTGCTGCGAGGACATTTAGTAGAGACTGTGTGCCCCCGCCCCCATAGGTAAAGGCCCCAGTGGACCCCAGAGAACAACCACATTCGCTGGTGCTGGAACAAGAATATTAAGGGGGAACCCTGGTGCCAGATGTGTGTTGTGACTTACCATAATCCCTGAAATGCTGCTGCTACACGACTGCTGTCTCTGGGCTTCGGCAGCAGCATGGTCCCTCTAATGTTCCTGGGCGTGGCCAGCATCTGGCCATTGCTCAGTGAGACCCTCCACCAGAAGGTCTGAGCAGGTCAAAGCAGCAGTCCCTCAGGAGTGAGGGGCTGGGAAACACAGCCACATCTGAGATAAAACCCAGGAGGGAAGTGTCGCCTGGCAAACTGACGGCTTGGTCACGGACAGTATAAAAGCAGGGAGTGGATGGAAGCCGGAGACTAAGGATGGGTGCGCACTTGCTGACTGGGGAGAATAGAGTTCCAATACTAGAGACTGGATAGCTGGGTTACACCATTTTCACCCCTCCCATGCATGCGCATACACATCTACAAGCAACACAACAATCCACATCAGAAAGCTAAGCAGCACCATCTAGTGGAGAACGGACCTGTTATACTAAGTCCGGCCAACTGGGCCAACCTCATTCTTCACGAACACTACAAGTATCTCCACCTGATAGTTTACGGACTATAAAGCGATTCATAGTTTGACTTCTTGGGGAAAATGCTGTAATTTCAATCGTATTTCAGTCTGTTCACTGGTCCATCTATTCAATTTTTTCTTTTTTTTTCTTTTCTTTTTCTTGAATACAGAAAGAGAAAAAATTTTTATTTCCAATTTTTATTAAAAATATTTTCTTTATTTTTTTGTTTTTTACTTTTTTGTAAATTTTTCAAATTCTATTTTACTTTCATCATTTCATTTTATTTTATTTCATTGTGTTCATTTTTTCAAATTTTCAAATGCTTTTTTTTCTTCCTTTCCCTTCTTTTCTCTAATCAAGCTCCTTTCAACAACCAGCCCAAAACACACCTAGGATCTTACATCATTTACTTGATTTTTATGTGTGTGTTGTTTTTAATTTTATAATTTTAATGGGATTTTTTTTTACCTTATTAATTCCTTTTCTTCCTTCAAAATGATGAAATTACGGAATTCACCCCAAAAGAAAGACCAGGAAGAAATGGACAGCCAGGGACTTAATCAACACAGATAAAAGCAAGTTGCCTGAACCAGAATTTAGAATCACAAAAATAAAAATAATAGATGGGAATGAAAATAGATTAGATTCCCTTTCTATGGAGATAAAAGAAGTAAAAGCTAGTCAGGATGAAACTGCAATCTTGAATGAATGCCACAGCAGCAAGGATAGATGAGGCAGAGCAGCAAATCAGCTATACAGAGGACAAACTTATGGAGAATAATGAAGCAGAAAAAAAAAGAAGGAGAATAATTTAATAATTAGAGAAATTAGTGACTCATTAGAAATGAACAACATCAGAATCATAGGGGTCCCATAAGATGAAGAGAGAGAAAAAGGGGTAGAAGGGTTATGTGAGCAAATCAAAGCAGAAAACTTCCTAACGTGGGGAAAGACACAGACATCAAAATCCAGGAAACACAGAGGACTCTCGTTAGATTCAACAAAAACTGACCATCAACACGGCATATAATAGTCAAATTCACTATTTGATACTGAAATAGTCAAATTTCCTTACTCAGGAAAGAATCATGAAAGCAGCAAGGGAAAAAAGTCTTTAACATACAAAGGAAGACAAATCAGCTTTGCAGCAGACCTATCCACAGAACTTGGCAGGCCAGAAAGGAGTGGCAGGATATATCAATGTGCTGAATCAGAAAAATATGCTGCCAAGAATTCTTTATCCAGCAAGGGTGTCATTCAAAATAGAACAAGAGATACAAAGAATCCCAGACAAAAATTAAGAGTTCACGACCACTAAACCAGCCCTGCAAGAAATTTTAAGGGGGACTCTCTGAGGGGAGAAAAGATGAAAAGAAAAAAGACCAAGAGCAACAAAGACTACTAAGACCAGAGAACACCACCAGAAACTCAAACTCTACAGGAAACATAAAGGCAATAAATTCGTTATCTTTCAGTACTCACTCTAAATGTCAATGGACTCCAAAATCTATAAGGAACTCACCAAACTCCACACCCAAAAAAAAAAAAACCCAGTAAAGAAAAGGGCAGAAGATATGCACATCATTTCTCCAAAGAGGACATCCAGATGGCCAACAGACACATGAAACAATGCTCAGCATCCCTCCTCATCACGGAAATACAAATCAAAACCACACTGAGATACCACCTCATGCCAGTCAGAGTGGCTAAAATGAGCAAATCAGAGAACACGAGACGCTGGCGACGATGTGGAGAAACGGGCACCCTCCTACACTGTTGGTGGAATGTAAACTGGTGCAGCCCCTCTGGAAAACAGTGTGGAGCTTCCTCAAAAAATTAACAATAGAACTCCCCTATGACCCAGCCATAGTGCTGCTAGGAATTTACCCAAGGGATACAGAAGTGCTAATGCATAGGGGCACATGGACCCCAATATTCATAGCAGCACTCTCAACAATAGCCAAAACATGGAAAGAGCCTAAGTGTCCATCAACGGACGAATGGATCAAGAAGATGTGGTTTATCTATACGATGGAATACTACATGGCAATGAGAAAGAATGAAATCTGGCCATGTGTAGCAACATGGATAGAGCTTGAGAGTGTTATGCTGAGCAAAATAAGTCAGGCAGAGAAGGACAAATACCATATGTTCGCACGTATAGGAGGATTAGGAGGAACTTAACGGAGGACCATGGGGGAGAAGAAGGGGGGAAATAGTGGGGGAGAGGGAGAGAAGCAAACCATGAGACTCTTGAATGCTGAGAACAAACTAAGGACTGATGGGTGTGAGGGGGAGGGGGAAGATGGACATGGAGGAGGGCACTTGTGGGGATGAGCACTGGATGTTATATGGAAACCAACTTGTCAATAAACTGTTTGTAAAAAAAGTAAAAATAAAATAAAATAAATGTCAATGGACTAAATGCTCCAATCAAAAGACATAAGGTGACAGAATGGATAAGAAAATAAGATCCATCTATATGCTCTTTATCAGAGACCCACTTTAGACCTAAAGACACCTTCAGATTGAAAGTAAGGGGATGGAGAACCATTTATTATGCTAATGGTCACTAAAAGAAAGCCAGAGTAACCGTACTTATATCATACAAGCTAGACTTTAAAATAAAGACTGTAATAAGAGATGAAGAAGGTCATTATAGCATAATTAAGGGGTCTATCCACCAAGAAGACCTAACAATTGTAAACATTTATGCTCCAAATGTGAAAGCACTCAAATATATAAATCAATTAATCACAAACATAAAGAAACTCATTGATAATAATACCATAATAGTAGGGGACTTCAACACCCAACATACAGCAAAGGACAGATAATCTAAACAGAAAATCAACAAGGAAACCTTGGCTTTGAATGGCACACTGAACCAGATGGACTTAACAGATACATTCAGAACATTTTCCAGAACAGATCATATATTAGGACACAAATCAGCCCTCAACAAGTACAAAAAGATCCAGATCATACCAAGCATATTTTCAGACACTTGATCTTAGCCAAAAGGCCGAGAAGCAATCAGCATATTTTCAGACAAACACTGTGAAACTCAAAATCAAACACAAGAAAAAATTTAGAAAGATAACAAATACTTGGAGACTAAAGAACATACTACTAAAGAATGAATGGGCTAAGATTAAAGAGGAAATTAAAAAGTACATGGAAGCCAATGAAAAAGATAACACCACAGCCCAAAACCTCTGTGATGCAGCAATGGTGGTCATAATAGGGAAGTATATAGCAATCCAGGCCTACCTAAAGAAGGAAGAAAGGTCTCAGATACACAACCTAACCTTATACCTTGAGGCGCTGGAAACAGAACAGCAAATAAAACCCCAAACCAGCAGAAGACAGGAAAAAAATAAAGATTAGAGCAGAAATCAATGCTATCGAAACCAAAAAAACACAGACAACAGATTGATGATACCAGAAGCTGGTTCTTTGAAAGAATTAAAATTGATAAACTCCTAGCCAGTTTGATCAAAAGGAAAAAGTAAAGGACCCAAGTAAATAAAATCAAGAATGAAAAAGGAGAGATCACAACCAACACAGCAGAAATACAAATAAAAATAAGAGAATATTAGCCAATAAAATGGGCAATCTGGAAGAAATGGACAAATTCCTAGAAACATATAAACTACCAAAACTGAAACAGGAAGAAATAGAAAATTGGAACAGACCCATAACCAATAAAGAACTCGATTTAGTAAACAAAAACTCAGAAAAAACAAAAACAAAAAAACAAAAAACAAACAAGAGTTCAGGGCCAAATGGCTTTCCAGAGGAATTCTACCAAACATTTAAAGAAGAGTGAATGCCTATTCTCTTGAAGCTGTTTTCAAAACTAGAAATGGAAGAAAAACTTCCAAACTCTTTCTATGAAGCCAGAATTACCTTGATTCCAAAACCAAAGACCTACTATAAAGGAGAACTATAGACCAATTTCCCTGATGAACATGGATGCAAAAATCCTCAACAAGATATTAGCCATCCAGATCCAACAATACATTAAAAAATCATTCACCACTACCAAGTGGGATTTATATCTGGGATGCAGAGCTGGTTCAATATCCACAAAACAATCAATGTGGTTTATCACATCAATAAAAGAAACGACAACAACCACATGACCTTCTCAATAGATCCAGAGAAAGCATATGACACAATACAGCATCCTTTCTTGATAAAAAGCTCTCAAGAAAGTAGGGATAGAAGGATCATTACCTTGAGATCATAAAAGCCTTATATGAAAGACCCAATGCTAATATCATCCGCAGTGGGGAAAAACTGAGAGCTTTCTCCCTAAGGTCAGGAAGAAGACAGGGATGCCCACTTTCACCACTGTTATTCAACATAGTATTGGAAGTCTTAGCCTCAGCAACCAGACAACACAAAGAAATAAAAGGCATCCAAATTGGCCAGGGGGAGGTCAAACTTTCACTCTTCGCAGATGACATGATACTCTATATGGAATACAATCCAAGAATATCCAATGGAATAAAAACACTCTCTTCAGCAAGTGGTGCTGGGGGAAACTGGACAGCGA